TGTGTTTGCTAATTGAAGCTTTGCAACATTTAAAAATGGCAAAACTCTTGATAGCACAGCTGCAGACTTCCTGGTGTCTTTTTCCAAATTGACTAAATTCATAGCTATCTGTATCGTGAACACAGGTTGAAAAGATTTAGTCTATTTTAAGCCCCTGTTTTCATCTACTTGGTTTATTATAATTATGTTAGTTCTTGTATCAGAGACGCTAGGAATGACATGAATTATTTCATATGTGATCTACAAGTGTACTGCACTGTGATAAATTGCACGGTCAGTCACATCATAAATTGTTTTATTGTTAATACAACCTATGATCCATAGGGTATTATGTATTTTGGACTTTTTCACTTGCACTCTGACCACTGATCCATTTCCCTTCGGATATATGAATAGTATCAAACATTCACTTGTGGCATGGAAAATTGTTCTCTGCTTTAGCTGAAAACTCTTACAATAAAATTTGTTTTCAATTGCATCTTCAGTACCACTTTATAGGTCTCCTTGAATACGTGTGAGGAAAAAAATAATTTTAATGTAAACAATCTCCAAATCTTTAACTAATAATGGCCTATTTTATCTTCCATTTTTGTGTGCTATTCCTAATAACATTAATGGGAGTTGCACTTTTCCCCTTTTGTTGTTTGTGTATTTTTATTGCTGATGCTATGATTAATTGACATAGTTCCATATACTGCCTTTGAAATGGTTACAAATAAGCATTTTTCAAAGGACTATTGCAGAAAATGAGTACTATTTCATGTAAAAGATAGTGAATAGAAACAGAAAATATCTCACAAATAGTAATTAATGTAAACAGTGATGATATAAAATGTTCTTTTTCCATTTTTGTTTTAGATCTCTATCCTGAGAGACAACAACAGGATGTACCTTGGAGAAGAGTAAGTTAAAACAGTTCTTTATATTTGAGTATATTTTTATAAAATTTAGAGAATGCGATTGTCAGTTTTTAATGATTTGCTATGAGTTTAAAGTCAGTGTACCTTGTCCATTAATTTGAAAAATTATGCCATTCCACTCAGTTTCCAATACTATGCATGCTAAACCTGCTTCTGCCTCCTTATACAAGCAAAATTCCCATTGACTTCAGTGAGAGCTTTGAATAACAAGTGCTTCACTGGTATCTCTGACACTAGTATCAACAAGCTTTCAGTGAGTAAAAGAAAACGTGAGCTACTAATTCCTCTAGATTTGGTAACAAATCTGAAAAAGAGGCAATCTTCAATTGTAATGTTCCTTAGACTAATTTTCCACTAGTGAGTATCCAAAGTTTACCTGAGCTAGAAAGTTGCAGAGAATTATGAGCAAAATAGTGTGGGCAAATGCACTCATCTGTAGTAATTGCCACCTTTACAGTGTGTGAGTGTGTATGCTATATAGCCAAAAGAGTGCTCACAAAATATATATTATTCTATGCAAACTACATGTAGATCCTCACTTATTATCTGTTCTGGCTTCTGTGGACAATAGAAGAGTCCTGGTGACATCAGTCAGCCTGTCAAGAAGCTGGAACACCACAAGATGTTTGGAACCTTCCCTTAACACCAGTCCTACATCCAGTTAGCATTTCCCCAAGAGTGGGCAGGAGATGGGATATTGTTAGATCAGAAGAAATGGCGATTCAACAAATATCCTATGTAGCATGATTGTAAGGGATCTTAAATGACACCCAATAAAGAATAAAGCTTAATTTTCTTAGGAAAGATCCCAGTCAACTGACCTCCCTGTAGAATAAACACTCCAGTAGACCTTAATTGCTTTAGGAAGGCACACTTCCTGTAGGAAGAACAATAGGACTTTGATTATATTAACCTTTCACCTTCCTGAGAAGTTTCCTGGGATGCTTATTTGACACTGCAAGGTCATGTGATCATGTCACCTGAAGCCCATCTTGGATTTACAGTGTTTTTCCACTAAGAAAGGGTGTGTGTCATACTGGGAAACATCAGATTCCCACCTTATGCAAATCCTACTTAAGGCTGGGAAGTGGCTTAAACTGGTTTCATGCTTCACTGAATCCCCACCCAAGATGACTGCTGGAAACATCTGAGAAACAAAGACAAAAGGGAAAGGGGAAGGAGGGTACTGAACCCAGGCTACGAATGGTGTTTAGCATGTGAATTATATACCTGGAAATTTTAGCTGTAAGCAAAAGCAGTTTTGTCTTCAAGATATTCTGCAACCTACCTAAAGCAGAATTTAGTGTGAGAATTATTATTTGTAGCCAATTTCTTTATTGTGTTTAAGCTTAGTTTGTGTATTTATTTTATTTGCTCAATGACAATGATCTGCTTTGATCTGTTTGCTATCCATTATAATCACTTAGAAGCTAAACCACGTTTTGCAATTTATAAATGCTGGGGAACAAAAAGCTGTGTGTGTCTTCCTCCACATTGAGAGAGGGGTGGATTTTATGAGGTTATGCTGTATAGAATTCTGTGCAAGACAATATAATTTTTGACTTACATTTCATGAGTTCTGGACAATTTCCTAGCTGAAAGCCTGCTTACACAGCACTGATTCCAGTCTTGAAGTCATTCTGAAGCTGGGTGTGTCCCTACCTGTGTGCATGCAGCAGGACAGGGTAAGAGTGTCCAGGCTGGTGGAATGGGAAGGCTCAGAGGAACCTTCAGGAACCCTAAAAAGTGGGGCAACATGTCACAAGGAGTAATTTGTAATAAAATGAAAATTGCAATCAAAATGGTAGCCAGTTTTGATTGAAAATTACTAAGTGTACTGAGAGAAAGTTACATAGGAGGAAGTTTCCATACGAGGAAAAACCAATGTGGATTTATTTTTTGTGATGTTAAATGTAGGTAGGAGTTATGATCAAATAGTTCATGTTGTTTTCTCTTTTGATCAGCTAAGGCCACAGTTTGAAAATATCTCCTAAGAAAAAAATATGCTGGTGTGCTGTTTTTTCATTTGTTATTAATAACCTGTCTTGTATCACAATATTACATACACAAACACAACAGATAAATAAATATTGTGATGATGATAATGATGATACAGCTAATTAATACTGGTTTTATTTCACCTTTATTACTCCAATTTACTTTGTTCAAACTGTACTGCCATCAATGGAATTACATCAGCACCAATCCAAATAACATAATGGTGAACTAAGTCCTACTTTAACTATGTTGTTATAATATCCATTTGAGCATATATAGATGAAAAGAATGTTTGATTGTTCCAATAAAATATGGGGGGTGAGGAAGAAGTTAAAAGCAAACAGTTTTGTCTGGCTTAAAACTTTTCTATGTAGTGTTTGTAAGTTTGTACCATAGCATTCTTCTTGCTCACAACAAATAGAAAGAGACATTCATTAGAAACTGATTATGTATCCAAGTGAAAGTGAATAAATTACTGTTGTCAATACTGAAGTAAGTACACACATAACCTATAAAGGTTAAAAGTAGATTGTATTTTAAACTTATTTCATTATTAAAACTATACTTCATTATAAAGTAAACTATTGCATTTATTTAATATTCGTGACAAATATTGTTTCAGATATTTTAATATTTCAGTATCCCTTTAAAGTATCATAAATGACTTTTGATATAGTACATCACAAAACTTTAAAGTGTTATATGTCCAGCTATTTTTTCTGGGGATTTATGGTTAATTTAGCTTTCAATTCTTTTAAAACATCAGCTTGTAAAGATTATACTTAATTAAAAGAGTGAAATTTGAATGGATCAAGTCAAATTAATTTGATGTAGTTTGAAAATTAATATTTAGTTATTTTTATCACTAGAAAATTCAGACACACAGGATGTGGTGTTGTGTCCCAAATAAACAAATATTTTCTAATATAAAATCATAATTTTCTTTCCTATAATAAGCCACACTTCTCAGCTGCATTGCAGTTTACTCAGATATTGAGCATCAAGCTTCAAGTGATCCTTTATTTTCCAGTTCATTTTACTATGTGTTTACCTACAAATATGTGTCATGTAGGCTTTTTTGTAACCCTTTGTACTATATTTTTAAAAAAAGGATTTTCAAACACTTAAATGTATGTGCATTCTGAAAACTTAATATCAGAGTAAAAGAGAGTGGCTATTAGTCAAATATTTAAAAAAAAACCCTAGAATAATCTTTTCTCGTTTATAATCATGATGGTGGGAAGTTCAATATTTCTACTCAAACAAAGAGTCTGTTAGACATATTTACAAAAGTCCTTACGATGTTTGCAGTCGACTTTGCAGAAGACAACATTTATAAAACATTTCCAGTGCCTGGCAGGTGCCATGAATTCTCTTGCGGATTAGTGTTATTCAGATATTGTCTTTCATTTGAACTTCAAACACTTGTTTTCTACAAAGAGCTTTTTTTTTAATAGCTTTAGGAAATTAAAACCTTTTTAAATGTGTCACTGTAATACCCACTATGAATTTACTTATGGGAAACAAGTAGCTGCAAAGCTTAGGACAATTATAATTTTAAATAAAAACAAGCTGCAAAAATGAAAGAAAAATACACTTGGAGAAGTCAAAAATATTATCTGTGGCTGTTTCTTAAAAAAATGTATTGACGACAACAGAAAGTTACAGAACATTTTTCCAATATTTTTCTTTCAATATTTTTGTTGCATATAGAGACAGATCTTATTGTAGCTGTCCCTATCATATTGTAATAATTTTTAATGATCAAATACTATCTTTTTTAAATGATTTCCTCTGAGTATTAAGAATAAGCTGAAATTTCCAGTATTTTAAATAGGAAAATCCTAGAATCTTAGAACACTAGAACTAGAAGGGACCTCAGGAGGTCATCAAATCTAGTCCCCTGCTCTCATGACAGGACCAGACACTGTCTAGATCATCCCTGATGTCTATCCAACCTGCTCTTAAATATCTCCAATGATGGACATTCCACAGTTTTTCCTAAGGTCAAACCTAAACTTCCCTTGCTGAAATTTAAGCCCATTACTTCTTGTCCTATTACCAGAGGCCGAGGAGAACAATTTTTCTCCTTCCCTGTAATACCCTTTTAGATATTTGGAAGCTTCTATCATGTCTTCTCTCAGTTGTCTCTTTTTCTAAACTCCACAAACCTAATTCTTTTGGTCTTCCCTCAAAGGTCATGTTTTCTAGACCTTTAATCATTTTTGTTGTTTTTCTCTGGACCCTCTCCAATTTCTCCACATTTTTCTTGAAATATGGTACACAGAATTGGACACAAGACTCCAATTGAGGCCTAATCAGTGCAAAGAAGAAAAACTACTACTTATGTCTTGTTCACAGCACTCCTGTTAATGCATCCCAGAATCATATTTGCTTTTTTTTTTTTGGTAAGTGTGTCACACTGCTGACTCATATTTAGCTTGTGGTCCACTATGATCCCTGGGTCCCTTTCCGCAGTACTCCTTCCTGCAGTGCTGAAATGAAAAATATGTTCTGAAATATGGGAAGGGAAACTTGTAATCATTTTGGTTTCATTAAATCCCTAAAAGTTGGTGAATTTTTTTATTATGTCAGATTCTACTTTCCTGCATCTTTGCTAGGCATAAATTTAATGCTAGCCGTTAAATTTAGTTCCCAAATTTAGGGATGCCTTTAAGATATTAATATTTCCTGTGCTGTGTCAAGGTATTTTGGTTTTGCTTATTTACAATATTTGTTAATGTAACAATGCATACTGCATCTAAGGATTTAAGATAAATACAATGTCTGTTAAATACATTTTAAAAGACAAATCATACCTCAATAACATTCAACAGGACTATGCAGCACTTTAAAGACTAACAAGATTATTTATTAGGTGATGAGCTTTCGTAACATGGCTACATCTCTATCACTATTCTCAATAACAATGGTATTTTAGAACCTATGAAATTCTGAAAGTATCTAATTTATGGAAATCATGG